ACAAACTCTTCTGCAAACGTTAAATGACTATGCTGTTTAGAAATGACCCTGATCTTAGAGATCTTAGAGAATCTCACTGGCTCCTGAGGAATATCTTTGACCTAGAGGCTTAGAAAATAACAGAAATTTACCATACTGTCATCTGCTTGTGAGTGAAGGCATATGGGAGGGAGCAGAGGGAATTAAATTCAAAACCTAGCGGAGCACAGCTGGGAGAAGAAGTATAGGGAAAACAGTTCCCTGAGCTTCCAACAAAAATAACTCAGGAGATGTACAGTACTGGAAGGAGAACCTGACAGATGGGAAGGATGATGACATGAACCTGAGGAGAGAGAATAATGGAGAGAAAAATGTGTCCACTAGAGGACAACAGCAGCAGCAAGAACACCCAGTGCAGAACCATCATGAGCCAGAGGCTGAAGACCATGCAGCCACAAGCAACAAGGGAAGCTGGCTCTTCCACAGTCCTGAGCATCTGAAATAAGGGCTTCTGAAATGAAAAAAGGCAGTCCTCATAGCCTGCCCTTATTTTTTTTACAAGAACTGAAACATGAAATATTTTGGTTTAGACTGTCCCAGAATAAAATGTCCATTTTGCTTAGTAAAAATGAGAAGGAATGCAAATGAAAATGACTTATTTCTCAGACAACTGGAGAATAAACAACAGAACAAAACAGAACAAAAATACATCCTGTTTAGATCTGTTTAGGTCTGTTTAGATTGAAATAAATAAAGCTGGATAGCAGGTATCCATCAGGAAGCTGTGGAAGTAGGATGGTCTGCCTGGTAAAATAATTGTGAAATCTGATGTTTTCCACCCATACTCACCAGCACCCATGACAAGTATGGCACCTGGCAATGTACTATAACCATGCTCTCACAAAAGCCTCAACTGGTACATATACCTTCTTTTGCCTAACTTAGCAATACTTATGGATAAACTGACATTTTGGGGATTTTCCATTCCTCAGTTCCAAGTTAAACTTAATACAAAGGCCTCCAGGGAGTATTTAAATCTATCAATACACACATGCTAATTACCCAAAAGTATGATAGAATGATGGCTGGTTGACTATCAGGTGCTCATTTGTATCTGTGACTATCCTGTAGCATCTGGAATCTGTACAAATACAGGAAGTATCACACATAAGTCATGCACAAATGAGTAAAATAAGATTTTGTCATGGACTCCAGGGATGTAAATGACGTATCAGTAGCACAGCAATAACACAGCATGCCTGAAAGCTGGGAACAGGTGCATGTAATTATATGATTTGTCCATGATCAAGAATATATAACCTCTGCTTTATCCTTCTGTTGAGACTTAATTATACCAGATGGAGAAAACAGAAAAATTAGCATCTCCCTTTACCTTCCTGTTCTCTCCTTGTCACACAGAAGTGAATTGTTTGTCACAGCCAAGTTCAGCAAGTGTCAGCAGCAAATCTGGAGAGTAGGAAAGACCTCTTGCTTTCAAACACAGTCAGCTTCTTTCTAGCAGAAGAAGGCAGAAGCAAACCCTGTCTTGCTGACCATCTGTGAGAAGCACATTTCAACAGCAATTGCTCTGTTTCCGCATTGTCGGTCCTTTCCCACCAGGTTGTCTGTGAATGCTGTCACAAGCCCCTTGCTGCAAAGTCAAGGGAATGGGTGTTTATGACTGGTGGCACTTCAGTCTACTCAATCATGAAAGACAAGCAGCCTGCAACAGAAGACTAAGTAGAAAAGGCCCAGAGGTGTGGGGAAGCCAAAACTAATTTGAAATTGTGGATTGAGAGGATGGGAGAGAAAACCAACTGATCCAGTAATCCCAGCAGGAAAAGATATATTGCCATCCAGGAATGGAGGCTGAAAGAATACAGGGCTACCCACAAGCACAGCTACTGGCTCCCTGCAATCTGCCTGCACAGGGCTGGGCAGAAATGCTATGTCTTTTCAGAGTTGGGCTCTTTAGACATCCTGGGCATGTTGCAGTGCTCCCATAAGGGTACTCTGACCCCTTCAGACTGCCTTGCAGAAGTGCTCTGCAAATTAACTAAAACCATGCTTTTGCTGATTGCCAAACACTTAGGGTAGATACAGCTTAATTAAAAGTTGTTATTTCTGCTAGGTTCGTATCTCATCAACTATATTAAAATTGTTAGAGAAAACAAAGAAACAACAAAAAACATGGAGTTAATGTTCTTTATTATTGAAATCAAAACAATTTTTTCTTCTTATAAAGTAAAACCTTTACAGTGATTGTCTAGATTTCCTTACAACCTGTTTGACTTGGCAGAACAACACAGGAATAATTTTCAAGAAACTTCTATAGATGTATTTCTTACAGAGCCCAAACAATCAAATGTGCGTACTTAATTATACACAATAAATCTGGAGAAACTCATTCTGCCTATTAAGCATCAATTTTACTGACATTTATGCTACTTGTATACTGGTAACACCACGTGGATCACAAAAGCTTGAGCTGTTTTGATGAGTATTAGGAAGACTATAGCAAAACGACTAGTATTTATTAATAGTGCTTGTCAACATTAACTCACATATGCTTATCCTGACCTTCTCCTGATTGCTGAAACAGATTTAGTGCTTTTTATGCAATTAACAAACAGAAATGCCCTCTTCTCCATTGAAGGCAAATAATTCCTATCCCCCACCTCACCAGATAACACTTTTTGAGACTTTTTGACACACTTTTGTGTGGGACACAGCAAAGTAAAAAAAGCCACTGCTTATGATGATTTATGAATAAAACTTCAACGAAACTTTGGGAAACCCACTTGTTAAAGGCAATATGGTTTTCTTTGTTTGTTTTCAGGAAAATTGTATTACAGAGAATGGAAAACAGAACATTAAAACCAAAGAAATACCAAAGGTCACAATTTACTGTGGTATGTCTCTGTGTCCTGATAGTTGCAGGCCCTGTCCTGAGCATTTAGACAATTCAAGAAGCCTTTATGCCAAAGGATTCATGTCTTTATGTGACTTTATCAATTATCAGAATATTTCTGTTTTGTAATCATGATCTAATTACTAAAAATAGCCAGGTGGTGATAGATCAGGATTTATTACTAACCAGATGATCATCTTCTTACAAACTGACATTTGTAATCTAGGCAGGAATTCAGCTCAGTGACTTATGTTCCCTTCCTCCCTGCCTCTCTCCAATCTATCAACAACGTATAGCAAATCTCTGCTGACTGAAAGACACAACTTCACATTGGTGATCTGTCTACACCAAACAATTTAAATTCTTGGGAAAGGGGAAAAACAACATCACTGTAACATCTTTAACTGCAGCTTTCACAGTACTCAAGTGCAATGCTTATCCTAGCTTTTGTGTGAATGGTATGAGCCTCATTAGCAGTTGAATTAAATTACATTTAAAATGTCACAAAAATATTCAAAAAAGAATTAGGATTATTTTCCTCTAAACAGATTTGCAGTGGTAAGTAATTTTAGATTCCATAAAACAGAGATATCCTATTTCACTGATTAATTCACTTTAACTGGGATTTTTTCAGATCGAATAGCTATAACACATTTTTTCCTTTTCCTTGGACTCACGTACTTTGCATCTCTGTGAAAAGCCATATTCATAATGATCAAGTAAAAAAGGATCTCTCTCTCAAAAAAAAACCCACAACCAGAAGTGGGATGGAACAGGAAAAAGGATGTAAAAAATAAGACATGGAGGTCCTCTTTAGTTGCCACTTTGTTTTTATTTACTTTTTTAATTAGCTGCATATGCACCAAAAAATGGAAGACATAGAAGACTGTACATAAATACGACCACAGCACTGATGACTATTTGTGTTGTGTATTGCAGCACTTGCAATTCCTCTTTATGGAGGAATGGGGATTTCCATTCACCTTTTAGGCATAAAACAGAGCTTTTTGCCACATAACATCTGAATGCACATGCTATGCACTCGCTCCAGTGATTTAAATGATGATATTATAGCATCGTAAATTCCTGCGCCCAAAAGGAAGAACATCCAGAAATCTCTCCTGATCCTCGTGTTGTTTTTTTTTTTTGGAGAAGGCGTGCCCAACTCTTGGCCCTGGATTGGTAGTCAGAGCCTTGCAGGAATACAAGCCAGCCTTTAACACATACTTGCTCACGTGTCATTCTGAGGTGACCTGTCAGCTATCCCTTCATTGAGGGTGGCTTCAATTCAAATTACTGACAGTCTTCTGAGCAGGAGACTATCAAAATACCATCAGGTGTAACTGCTAGTTCGTTACTACAGAACCATAGGGGTTTTTACATCCAAATTCACACAAGCTTACATTCTTGAATGGTTATAGAGACACCACGCTTTGGGTACACCTTGGTAGCCAAGGTATGATTTCAACTTGCCTCCTCAACCACTTACAAATTTCTGGTGTGGGGCTGCATTACAGGAACATGCTTTGGAAGGCTGTTGTTGACAACCTGGAGTACACTGACTTATGCTGGCACCCATATGCCTCAGGGAGAGGTTTGCTCACTGTCCAAACGCAACAGTTAACCGCTGGGGTGGTGTAAGCAACACCAACAGTCTGATTGGTTACACACTTGAGAAAACCGTACTTGTGAGTTGACTAATAGGACTGCTGTTCCATTCCAGGGTAAGGGAACAAGCACTAAACAGCAGGGATGAACCAATCACTACGCATGCTTATTAAAAAAACGGAGAGAACGCTACTAAAAACAAGTCACCACGAAAAGTAAGGCAGACCCCAGACACAAGGAAGCACACTTCTGACTCCTCGTGCTGCAAAGAGGCATCCGGAAGGAAAGCACAACAGACCGCCTCAGCGTTGCCGAGGAAGTGTCAGCAGGGCACTTAAGGGAGCCCTCCTAGCCGCCTCCTCTCGCTGGTTCCTGCGAGCCTGGCTCCTCCTGATTGGCCGAGATGAGCTCCACCCACGCGCCAGCGCCGCTCTATGCCGCCCGGCGACCGCACCTCGCTGTTCTCAGAGCAGTTCCTTATCGGCGGCCTTTGCGCCGTTACGGCCTTAGCGCCCTATTTCCCCGCCCTTCCCTGCGTAGCACTTCGGCCTCCTTTGTTCCCCGTCCGCCCCTTCCAGCCACTCCCACTCCCTTATCTCCATATTCGCCCTCTTGCACCTGCGTTTCCTCCTTCTCCAATGCCACCTCGGGGTTACCACGTTGCGGTAAATTGGCTGCTCTCTCCTCCGCCTTGTTCCTCTCTTGTGTTGTCCTGACTTCTCTGCTCCTGCCTTTGCTATTAAGTGTGCTTCAGAGCGTGACATCCCACGGAGCGGAGCTTTGTTTTGTTTGTTTGTCCTGCTTCATTTGTGGTTTGCTAAGTTGTATGGATGCGAGACTTATCCCTTCTTTGTTGTTTTCCCCTCTTCCCACACATCAAGATTGTTCATAAATCAGCAGAATTAAGTGCATTAGATGGCATTGGTACGATGCTATCTTTATTTTTCTTAAATTCTGAAAAATGCTTAAAACTGCTTTTTATCCCATAAGATCCCATATAAACATCTGTAGGTACAAATGTGACTGTAATGGTGCAAAGCTGCGAGCAGTTTTTTACCTGCGCTGCTCTGTAAGAGACATCTCAGTTAGGCAGTAATGCCAAACCCGTGAGCAGATTGGATTGCTTTATCTCAGCCGCCAGGAACATCTGTTGAGCATCTCTGAGGCACAGCTAATAACAGATCCATCCGATGCTCTTTCCAGTCCTCAGTGTTGAGGGCATTTCGAGGGAAAGCGGAGCTTAGTAAGCAAAATCCCTGGCTGCTGAATTATACTTTGGCACGTCAGTACGAGAGCTGAAAGCGCTGCAGCTAAAGCTGCCTGCTGTTGAGTCTGAGATGGGAGAACACACGTACGGATAAGCTTGTCTTTGGCCCTGTTGTCTGCTTCTTGTACTGTATTCTGTCTGCTTTTCTCTCTGGCTCTCTGATCCAGTTGTCCAGTTAGTATTACAGGTTCCAAAATGATCGTAACAGGTCAGAATTCAGTGAGATCAGAAGCACGTTGCTGTACCTTCTATCCTTCTTCAAAGCTCAGTCCTCCTACCCGTGAGAAGCAAAGAAATACTCTGGATTTGTTCATGCTCCCTTGTCATTTTTAAGTTCTTTTCCTTCTTGAACGCTGTTGTTGCCAAGAGAAACTCAGTTGCTTTCAGATTGCGTGCACTTTGGCAGGCTGTGCTGAGGTTGGCGATCAGCCTCTTCACTGGGTATCAGCAATAGGACCAGATGTGAAGCTGGCTTAAGAGGCTTTAAGTTGCACCAGGGGAGGTTTAGGTTGGATATTAGGAATAATTTCTTCTTTGAAAGAGTGGTGGGACAGGCTGCCCAGGGAGGTATTGAACTGTATGGCTGTGGCACTGAGGGGTGGGTGAGCATTGGTGGGAATAGGCTGAAGGCAGGACTAGATGATTCTAGCGGTCTTTCCAACCTTAATGATTCTATGCTGTGAAGCTTGTCACTTTCTCTGTGCTTCTGGGTTCATTTGCTCGCCTCATCAAAAAATATTTTATCCTTCAGTCTCATTTCTGATCGGACACTACAAATATTTAGCATAAAGGTTTTTTATTTGTTAAAAAGAGCAACGAAACTGGTGAGGGGTCTGGAGCACAAGTCTTATGAGGAGCGGCTGAGGGAGCTGGGATTGTTTAGTCTGGAGAAGAGGAGGCTCAGGGGAGACCTCACTGCACTCTACAACTTCCTGAAGGGAGGTTAAGGTGAGGAGGGGTTTGGCCTCTTCTCCTAGAGAACAAACAGGACCCGAGGAAATGGCCTCAAGTTGTACCAGAGGAGGTTTAGGTTGGACATGAGGAAAAACTTTTTCTCTCAGAGGGTGGTCAGGCACTGGAATGGCTGCCCAGGGAGGTGGTGGAGTCGCCGTCCCTGTCAGTGTTCAAGAGGAATCTGGATGAGGAGCTGCGAGATCTGGGTTGTGCTTGTGGTAGCAGCGGTGATGGGAGCACGGTTGGACTAGATGGTCTCGCAGGTCCTTTCCAACCCTGTGATTCCATGATTCTAAATATGATAAACCGCACTGCTTCCTTTAAGCAATGTTGATATCGAGCGAGATCATAGAATATCCCGGCTTGGAAAGGACCCCCAAGGACCGGCGACCCGGCCCCGCTCAGCTCCACACGCTGGCGCTGCCCGGGCGGCGCCGCTCCGCGCATGCCCGTGAGGGCGCTGAGCATGCGCGCGGGGCGGGCGCCTCCCGCCGGCGGCGGAGCGGAGCGGGGCCATGGTGAGCGCGGCGGGCGGCGGGCAGCGCCTCGCGGCTCCCTTCTCCTCCTCCTCCTCCTCTTCCCTCCTCCTCCTCGCGGCCTCGCCCGCCGCGCCGGGCAGCGCCGAGAGACGCCTGAGGTAGCGCGGGGCTGCGCAGGGCGGGCCGGAGGGCGGCTGGCGGGGCGTGAGGGCTTCGTTTGGGCTTCGTTTGCGGTGCTAGGGCCTGCGTGGGGCGGGACGGAGCCGCTCTCGGGCTGTGGGACGCCGTGCCCGCAGCTCCCTGCAGCCCGCCCGACCTGCCCGAGTTTTTAGTAAACCACGTGGGAGTTGCGGCGATCCTTTCAGCCAAAGCCATGAGGGGGTGGTGAGGACAGGACCTCGTTTCCCAAATGTTTGTATTTCTTTTTTCCGTGCCGGATAACAGAAATTCCGTTCCAGCGCCGATCTTTGCCCGCGTTCCCTCTGAGCTCCTTCCAGCACGGCGCTGCTTGCTGGTCCCGCAGGCTGCCCGGTCCGTGTGTCCGCACTGAGATCTGGAGCGGGTCTGTGTAGTGAGGAGAGGGCAGAAACATCAGTGGCGATTCCTGGTGTCTGCACTTTCATCTCCAGGAAAGCATATTCCTTCGTTATTTCTCAATAGCGAAGCTAGGGTAGCAGCAGGGAGGGGCAGAGCAGGGAACAGCCCTGCAGAAATGTCAGCAGGCCTCGCTGGGGCTTGGCACGCTCTTGGGATGGGGACAAGTAACACGTTTTTCCACAATGCAGTGATGAGTTCCTGTGATCCAGTGATGAGGAATGGCTCCCACACAGGTTCGCTTGGCTGCCTTGAATAGGGAATGATGATGTGACGATGGTTTTCTTAGCAAAGGGCAGCATTTCCTTAGGAGGAAAGCAGCGGTGCCAGCTTGTTAAAACACATCGTGTGTTGGCAGGACGGGGCTGTGAGGGTGTTTGCACAGTTGGGAAATGGTTTAAGGCTGTTTCCCGGGCAGGCTGCTGCTCTCAACATCGTGCTGCTTTACATTTCATTGGTTCTAAGCAAAACGGAGCTTGTGGCATGGACAAAAAGGATTCTGAAGGCTAAATCTATGCTTTGGTATTTCATTTGCTTTGCGGGTCTTTTTATAGAAAAAATAAATCTTATTAGCATCGTAAAATTCTGAAGCTGTAAAAGTAAAAATGCAAAATGCATGTTTCTTTTCTTTCAGTGTATAATGTGCCATGTTGCCTTGATGCAGGGGCCCAGAGCAGTTTGAAATCCTCCTGATTTAGGCAACCAATTAGATACTCTTTGCTAAGTTAGTGACTTCCATGCATTGTCAGGTCAGTTTACTATAGGTCCTACTTCAGAACGGGGTTTGTTTTTTTTTAATTGAAATCCTGTGTATCTGTTATGAATAAGGGTTTCTTTGGAAAATAAATGAATCAGTAATTGAATGCTGTAGATGTGGCTGGGATGTATGCAGTGATGTATGTGCTGGTTTCAGTGGTTTTCCTGAAGCAAAATTGGATATCCAGTTGTCTAGCATGTGTTTCTTAGGTTTTAATTGCCTTATTAATGTCAGCTACTTTTGAGGATGAGCAATATTGGTTGTGTCTTCTAATCACAACTTATTCTCAAATCAGAGGGATTATATGAAGGAGGAAGTGGAGGAGTGTGCTGAAGATGAGGCGACTGAATCGGAAGAAGACCTTGAATTTGATGAAAGAGTTGGATGCCTTCCCGAAGGTTCCTGAAAGCTATGTGGAGACCTCAGCAAGCGGGGGAACAGGTTAGCCTTACTGACATGCTCATGTGATGGAGACTGCCTGTCAGCTCAGTCTAGTGCACTCTTAGGCTTCTATTAAAACTTCTGGCTTCAGTAGAAGGAAAGCAGTCATCTGTGTTCATTTGAAACTAGCCAAAACTGTTATCTTAATCTCTTAATTTACTTCATGTAAACACATACTATATTCTGCTGATAGATGAGGTCTTTGCTCATCTTGAGCAAGATATTTTTGTATAAAACTGATGAGAGCATTGAATGTAAGTGTTCACTATAAGCTCTTTGAAATGATTACGACTGGAAATGCACTGTGTCAAGGATTTAGTAAGACTTCTTAATTTATGGAGTCTCTTTAAGCTGTTTCCTTTAATTCTGTATAAAGTTTTGGGGTAAGACTGTGTCAGTATGGAGTGAAATACAAGTTGGATTCCATGCTATGATTTCATAAAAAAGAAAAATTGTCCAGGGATGTCTTAAGAACCAGCTGAGCTGAGCATGAGGGTGAAGACCGCTTTCTAACGCTTCTTGTCTTGGAGATGCAGTTGATTTTAAAAGTAAGGGAAGCCCTTTGAAGAATAAAGCACTTTGTTCCAGGGAGTGTGCTTGTACTATCACTTGAGCTTCTTTCTGAGAACTGTAGCTGTAAGAACTGTCTTTCCTATTTGTATCTGACCAGAAAATGTTGCCAGTTATTGGGTTTGAGGTAGCCTGATGAAGAAATGACTTCACCTGTTGGACTATAGGAAGGCAACTGCTAGCAGTTTGAAATAGAAAGCAAAAATCTTCTTGTGTGTAATAATGTCTGAAGCTCAGCTGAACGAAGAGTACAAGAAGCAATCGCGATCTACAGATAAACCTTTAAAGTCATTACACAGTTTGTGCTGTAGAAATAAATATCACAAAGATCTGTTTCACCTTGCTGTTTCCTGAATTGCACTGTTAATAATTGAAGGATTATTTTATGTAAAATAACCTCTAAGAGTTCACGAAATAACTCCTTGTTAATTTTAAAAAGCCTGTTTCCTGATGAAGCAAGTGAAGTGATTTTTTTGTTGCTGTTGTTTCTTTGTTTTTCTTCATCAAATCCAACTGACAGTTAAAAATTCCTCTTTTCCTGAATGCGAGAAATTCACT